TTCTTTCCCTCTGCTGTAATAGAATTTTGTGTCTTTTCCTGTAATGTAATTTACCCTTGTCTGCCTCCTCCTTTCTTAGTACATTTTCTATGATCAGATTAATCCACTTATTTGGATCCATTTAACCCAGTTGACTAGATTTTTTTTAATCATTACATCTAAGTCACCTAATATCAATCCCCTTTATGTATACTCCTTTAACAATACAGTTCTCAAGAGTTGCAAGTGTCATCTTCCCTTGTAGGGATGTAAACAGTCCGCTCTTATTAACAACATATTGTATCTTTCTGTCCCATTTACCTTTTTATGTCTTTCTTGAATCTTGTAGTTGAAGATCAAATTTTTTGTTGAGCTCTGGTCTTTTTATGAGGAAGGTTTGGAAGTCCACTATTTTGTTGAATATCCATCTCCTCCCTTGAAAAATCATGCTCATTTTTGCTGGGTAGTTGATCCTTGGCTGCAATCCAAGCTCCTTTGCCTTAGGGAATATCATGTTCCATGCCCTGTGGTCTTTTAAGGTAGAAGCTGCAAGGTCCTGTGCAATCCTGACTGCGGTTCCATGATATTTAAATTGTTTCTTTCTGGCTGCTTGCAGCACCTTCTCTTTCATCTGGTAATTTTGGAATTTTGCTATTATATTCCTTGGCGTTTTCAATTTGGGATCTCTTTCAGGTGGTGAGAGGTGTATTCTTTCTATGGTTATTTTGCCTTCTGGTTCTAGGACTTCAAGGTAGTTTTCCTTTATGATTTACTGAAAGATACTGTCTAGGCTCTTTTTTTCATCATGATTTTCAGGTAGTCCAATAATTTTTAAATTGTCTCTCCTGAATCGATTTTCTAGGTCGGTTGTTTTACCGATGAGGTATTTTATGTTTTCATCTATTTTTTCATTTTTTTGTTTCTGTTTGACTGATTTTTGCTCTCTCATAGAGTCATTAGTTTCCATTTGTCCAAGTCTAGTTTTAACAGATTGTTTTCTTCTGTTAGTCTTTGCACTTCCTTCTTCAATTGGTCAATTATGTTTTTTAGGGAGTTGTTTTCTTCAGTGTACTTTTTTCCAATTGGCCAATTTTATTTTTTAAGGATTCTTCTACCTCTCTCATTTGACTTTTAAAATCCTTCTTGAGCTCCAGTGTACTTTTTTTTTCCATTTGGCCAACTGTATTTTTTTTGGGGGGAGATGGCTAGGCAATGGGGTTAAGTGACTTGCCCAGGGTCACATAGCTAGTAAGTGTTATGTGTCTGAGGCCGGATTTGAACTCAGGTCCTCCTGCATCCAGGGCTGGTGCTCTATCCACTGTGCCACCTAGCTGACCCCAGAACATCATATTCTAAGCCTTCTGCTCCTTTAATGTGGTAGCTGCTACATCTTGTGTAATCCTTTCTGTGGCTATTCCTGGCTTCTTTTTCTTTGACCTAGACTATCTGGAATTTGGCTATAATATTCCTCAGGGTTTTCATTTTGGGATCCCCTGTAGGTGGTGATTGGTGGATTCTTCCAATTTTTATTTTACCCTCTGGTTCTAGGATATTGGAACAATTTTCCTTCATAATTTTTTGAAATATGATGTCTAGGTTCTTAGATCATTGTTTTCAGGTAATCCAACAATTATTAAATTATCTCTCTTTGATCTATTTTCCAGGTCAGTTTTTTTTTCCCCAGGAGATATTTCACATATTCTTCTATTTTTTACAGTCTTTTGACTTTGTTTTATTTGTTCTTGTTGTCTCATGGAGTCATATATATTTATTCCAGTTGCCTGATTCCAATTTTTAAGAAATTATTTTCTTCAGTGAGCTTTTGTACTTCTTTTTCCATTTGGATAATTCTACTTTTTAAAGTGTTACTTTCTTCAGAATGTTTTTATTCCTCTTTTACCAAACTGGTAGTTGTCTTTTCATAATTTTCTTCTTTTGTTCTCATTTCTTTACCCAACTTTTCCTCTACCCCTCTTATTTGATTTTGAAAATCATTTTTGGCCTCTATCCAGGAATTCTTGTTGGACTTGTGTCCAATTAACATTTTTATTTTGAGGCTTTGCTTGTAGCTGTTTTGACTTCATTGTCTTCTTCTGAGTTTGTGTCTTGAACTTCCCTGTCAGCACAGTAGCTTTTTACGGCCAGATTCTTTGTTGTTGTTTGCTCATTTTCCATTCTATTTCTTGATTTGGAACTCTATGTTAATGTTGGGTACTCTCTCAAGTTTCAGGCTTTTTCATACTGCTCTTTTCAGAGCTAGTTCTGAGGGTTTGGAAGTTTTGGAAGCTTGTAGACTGGTGTGATCTGGGAAGAAATATAGTTACTGTTCTCTTGTTCTGCACTCTTGTTTTCACCAAGAAGGGCACTTGATCCCGTGGTATTGCAATTGGTACTGATCCTCAAGGTCCCTCTTCCCTTGGGTCCAGAAATAATACTATTCTTCAGAGTCTTTAGGTAATACTTCTCCTTAGCACTTCCATTCCCTTTTGACTGAAAGTACTCTTCTCTGCCCTTAAACTCTGACTCAGAAGTACGTATAGGGAATAGAGTTGCCAAACATTGTTCAGACCTGCATCCAGTGTTAATATAGGGTTTCCCTGTAATCTTTTTCTGATTAATTACCAGGTCCTCTTACAATCCTTGGCCTTAGGGCTCCCAAAGCTGCTGCAGCTTCTGTCACTACCACCTAGTTCAGGGATGAGGAATCTGAGTCCTAGTCTTGCTACTAGTGTTTTGTCCATATGGGTTCCAGCCAGCTTCCACCTGTGTCACAGATCATCTTTCTGACTTCCTCTGTTGTCTTGCCCTGGAAAAATGTCTCAATCTGAACTTTTGTTGGTCTTGCCACTTCAGAATTAAATTTGAGGCATTATTTTAATGCTTCAGGGGGAATTTTGGAAGAATTCAGTTAAATGCTTTCTCTACTCCACCATCTGTCCCATTTGTCCTCTACCACTCTTAGCTCTTTAATTCTACCAGACATTCTTGTTGAGCTTGTGTCCAATTAGCATTTTTGTTTGAGACTTTAGTTGTAGCTGTTTTCATGTTGTTGCCTTCTGAGTTTGTGTCTTGGTCTTCCCTTCCACCATAGTAGCTTTTTATCATTATTCTTTTTATTTTTTATTTTATTTTATTTTATTTTATTTTATTTTATTTTTTGCTGTTTTCTCATTTTTCCAGACTATTTCCTGACTTTGAACATTATGTAAAAGTTGGTTGGGCTCTGCTTGCCTAGAGTGGGGAGGCACTGTGTCAAGCTTTAGGTTTTTTCATGTTGCTGTTTTCAGAGCTAGTTCTCAGGGTTTAAAAGTTTTTGGTGCTTCCAAAGTGGTGTGATGTAGTGAGAGTTGTAGTCACTGCTTTCCTGGTCTGTACTTTGATCTGTACACAGGAAGGGCCCCTACTTCTTTGAAGCTGCAAGTGCTAGTGCTCCTTTCTGCCTTGGAACTGCAACCAGGGTCACTGCTCCCTTGTGACTGCTCAGAAGTGCTCATCTCTGCCCAGGAACTGTGATCCAGAACTGCTTATTGGCAATAGAGCTGCCAATAAGGAGCACTTGCAACTAGTGACAGCAAAAGGACCTTTGTAATCTCTTTCCGATTGGTCCTCTGACTCCCTTACCATCTCTGAGCTAAAAGTTCCTAAAGCATCTGCTGCTGCTACCACCTCCCCACCTCCAAAAATTGCTGTTAGTGCTGCAGTCATTGTTCATGGGCTGTGGACAGGCCTCCACCCCAGTGTCACAGATGTTTTCTGTCAATCTCCTAAGTTGTGTTAGTCTAAAAAAAAGTCTCACCTCAACCTTCTGTTGGTTCTGCTGCTTCAAAATTTGATTTGTTATTTTAAAGTTGTTTGGAGGGGAATGTTGAAAAAGTTCAGCTGGGTTGCTGCCTGTAATCCACTTTCTTGGCTCTGTCCCCCTCCATATTTTATCACTTGGAATTTTTTTTTTTAATAGGGGAATGATCTGGTCAGAGACATTTTAAGAATATCACTTTGGATGCTGTGTGAAGGATGGATTGAGAAGGAAGAAGATGGAGGCTAGGAAGATTAGAGAGATCAGGAGGGGCCAGTTTTGAAGAGCTTGCACAGCGCCAGTGAGAAATGATGAAGTCCTAAACTAGGATATCAGCTAGGTAACTGGAGGGAGGTAACTTTGCAAATACTAGGGTAAAGGGTTTGAAGGAAGAGGAAAGGATGAATCCAGACTTGGGACACTGAGACACTGGCAGAGTATTGTAGTGTCCTCAATATAAATAGCGGTGTATGGAGAAAGGAAGGGTTTGGTTTAAATTATATATTGGATATGCTGAATTTTCAATAATTTCAGTAGACAGAGATTGGGTGGGGGTGGATCTGTTATAACATCGGAGGGCAATTAAAGGAAAGCAGAAAGGTGATTTTACTGGAATTTTTTTTTTTGGTGAGGCAATCGGGGTTAAATGACTTGTTCAGGGTCACACAGTGTCAAGTGTCTGAAGCTGCATTTGAACTCAGGTCCTCCTGACTCCAAAGCCGGAGCTCTATCCACTGTGCCACCTAGCTGCCCCTTGGAAATTTTTTAAAAATGCAAGAGAGCTGAGAAAAATTCTAATGTCTGCCATGCAAGCCTCAGTCTTGCACCTGAATTAGCTTTTCCCACCTCAATGCAATCTTGAATCCCTTGGACGAGTTCCTCCCCCAGGACACCCCACTTCTCCCCAAATGCTCCTGCCTGTCTTCACAGAGACTCCTCCTCCTCCTCCAGGCACGGGGCGGCGCTGATGAGTCGGAGCTGAGTCTATGGTTCCTTTTAGCCCTCTTTTCCTTCATTTTTTCCTGGCCACCACCCCTGCTTCCAGGCGCTGCTATGGTAACAAAGGAGGAGGAGCTGCGCTGCCCCGCCCCGGCCCCAGTTGTCCTTTGGACTGGGCCTAGGCCTGCAGGTGCTCCTAGCTGGGCCGGATTCCTGTGCTGCTCCCTTTCTCTTCCGGCAGCCTGAGCTCCTCCCTGTGCTCAGTCCGCATCTCCTGTTCCTCCAGGCTCTGTCCCAGAGCGGCTACGCCAACCCGGCAGTGCTCCTTGGACCGCCTACCCCAGCAGCTGGACAGCGCCAGTCCTTTGCCTCCTGGGCAGCTCGCTTCAGCCTGGGCCTGGCTTTTCCCAACACCCACCCCACGGACCCCTGCTGGTGGCCTTTGCCAAAACCACCCCCTCCTCCACTCCTGGTCCTCTTGGCACCCTTCCTCCCTCTCTCCCCGCAGCTCGAGCTGACGTCGTGTCCAGCATCCTCCAAGCCCCACCACCTGCCCATCCATCCTTCTCCCTTGAGCTTCACCAAAGGTAATTCTGGGCTCTTGCTCCACCTTTTCCAAACCCTGGTCCTACCCACCTGCTCCCCATGTAACAGAGCTAAGCTTTTTGCTTTTCATCACCATCCCCACCCTGCTTCCTGTATACCCACCTTTGGCCAACTACCCTCTGCATCCTCCTAGTTTTACCCATTCCTCATTCCTGTAAAAACCCCAGTTCCTGCCCAGCTGTGGCTTCTCTCAGCTTAGCTCATGCTCTCTTCTCTACTATTACACCTTGCTCAGATCACAGAACTTCCCTCTGATTGCTCTGGGACCCGGAAGGTCCTTAGTCTTGGGGGGATAAGGTAGCTGCTGAGGAGCTTGTTTCCTTCCTTTCCTTTGAAGGTTGGGCAGAAGGCCCCTTCCTCACCTTCCCTTTCTCTGGCTCCATGGCAAACAAGCCTGAGGAATGGAGCACCCAAATCTCCTACCTTGTTCTAGGAGTAGTCTCTCTACATTCTGCTGTGCACACTGCCAGGGTGAGTGGCCCAGTATCTGGGGGTGGAATTTTGAAAAGTTATGTTCTTTTACATCATCAGAAGTCATAGAATACCTCAGTGGGAATCTTTGGATACTATAGGCTGGGTGGTGGGAGGGCCAAGCACTGTTTCTTTTGACCTTCCAGGCTACAGAGATTGTTTTTGGACCATGTGTAGGTTAATCAGCTCCATTTTAGTCTGGCCAATGTAAGAGTGTGAAGAGGGTATGTGATGCATGTAGATTCAAGCGGAGAAAATTACTGTAAATGTTGGTGGATGGGAATGGACAGAAAGTTGAGTATAAAGTTAGAGGAACAACTTCTGGCTCTGGGCTGCTCAGAGGGTGGTATTATAATGGTCCCTTCTTGTCCCAATGACCTAATTCTCCCTTTCCCCATGTTGCCAGGTGAATCGAGGGGCTGCAGCAGGCTTCCTACTTCAAGCCCTAGCTGCCGCTGCTGCATTGGTTCCTGGTCCCCAGACAGATACCGATAACCAGATGGGAACCTGGGTGGCCACAGTCATCGGCCTTCCTCTCTTGGCCTTTGATTTCCATTGGGTGAATGGAGACCGATCTACGGCCAATCTGCTTCTAGGGGGTGGTATGGTCCTGGGCATGGCTGGGGACTATCTGGGCACAGAGACCCGGGCTGTGGCTGGTCAAGCTGTGGCCCTGGTGGCTGCAGTAACTATCCTCATTGTGTCTGTCTTCACTGTCAACACTTATGGAATGGGTGGTGGTGTGGCATTAGGTGCAGCCAGTCTCATGAGTCGACTGGAGAAGGAGACTCTACTGCTGTTCCTCCAAAAGGAAGATGCATGCAGATGGGCCCTGGCTGTGGGGAATTGGGCTTATCGTTGGGCTCTTCACACTCAGCACTTGGAATTGGATTGACCACTGCCTGGGGCAGATGCAAGCAAGACCCCTTCAGGAGCAGATGATTCCTATGGGTACTAACTCCATTCTGAGGATGCCAGTGAGGCTACCTGGGCAGGTGCTGGATCCTGTGGGACTTGTGCTGGAGGAAAAGGCAAGGCAGGTGTGTGTGCTGGGGGCTACTTATTATGGTTAACTCTTTCTTGTACTGTGCTGTCATCCACATCTCTGGGGGCTTGTATGATCAGAAACTCGGGCTAAGTTTTCTCTCTGTTGTCATTACCTTCTGGCTGCCTCCTTCCTCCTGTACTTTCCTGCTCCATCCCTCATTGGCTAGGACCTTCCTATGGGTTAGCTGCCCAAGTTTTTTCTTTGTTGAAGAAATACAACCCCAATGATTGCTGGAATATGGCAAGGGGATTGGCACACCCTAGGCAAGAAAGGATCCTGTGGAGATAGAGTAGGTGTCCTGCTAGTGAGGGGCTCTGCCCAGAGTGGGTTTTCTAGAACCATCACCCTCATAGTTCCTTCCTAGGGCCCCAAGACTTCAGTATTTCCCTACACCCAGGGATTAGTACTCCATTTGGTTGGGGGGTGGAGTGAGGAGGGAATGTTGCAACCCTTGGGACCTACCTTCTCATTTTCCTCTTACCAAGGATGGAACATCGAGGGACATATGAGTTTTATCCAAAGGGCACTGTTTTTGGCTGAACTTGTATATGAGACAGGAGAGGAATCTGCCTTCTGCCTTTCAGTGACATTTTAATAAATATTATGGATTATTAGGGAAATGTGAGTCTGCCTGTTCCTGAAGGTAACCTGGCCATTTCTGTTCCATGTACTCAATCCCCATATGGCCAAGGCTAACTCCATACCTGAGCTCAGGGGCAGAATAGGCTCTAGTCTCAAACTACCCAGCAGGGTGGCCCTGGGGTGGGGGAAAAGGAGGAATATTGGATTTAGGGTGCCCAATCTCTTTCAATGAAGAAATCTTTCCTTTGGTGGCCTGAGGTCCCATATTTCCCAGCAGTTACCATTTAACCACTTGGAGTTAAATAAATACAGTATTCCAAGTTCCCAGTATTGGGATCTATGTTTTGTCCCTCTTTCTTCCCACTCCAGCTATGGAGCAGGATTCATGTATTCATTTATTCAATAGACCCACTAGGTACCTACTCTGTGAAAGGGACCTCGTTTAGAAGGAGATGGGGGAGGCAGAGGGGAGAGAGAGAGAGAGAGAGAGAGAGAGAGAGAGAGAGAGAGAGAGAGAGAGAGAGAGAGAGAGAGAGAGAGATTGTAGACACTGGTTCTGCCTCCCTGCTCTATTCCTTCCCCCAAGTCTCCCCACCCCCAGCTTATAGTCTAAAACTGGATATAAGAACAATCCCTCCCTGGGTTAGCACTCCTCTCTGAAGTTACTTTGCTCATGGATGTTGGCTTGTAATTAAGACCTAACTATGTCATCCCTCTGTTTGAGAATATTCAGTGGGTAAAGACTGCCTATGGGATAAAATACAAACTCCTTAGTCTGCCTCAAAGCTACATTTCTGACCTTATTTCACACTATATCTCTTCATGGATTCTACATTCAAGCCAAATTAGACCCCAATTCCCATTCTTATTACATTCCCACAAAGTGCATCTCATGTCAGAAAAGTCTCCTCCTCTCTCCCTGTTGAAGCCCAGATCATATACCACCTCCCTCATGAAGTCTTGCACCTCAAATTTTCTTAGACACTTTATCTGGACCTCTCTTTTGCCTCTTTCAAATTCTACTTGGCATCACACTTATTTATGTATATGCCACATTCTCTCTAGTAGAGCTTAAGCTTTTTGAGGGCAAACTTTTTCCCCCACATTTATTTTTGTACCTTCAGTGCCAAGCAGATAATAGGCACATAATACATTTAAAAAAAAAATAAAATTAAGGGCTAGAAAAGTGGTATAGACAGGAAATTCCATAGGAATTCAGAGAAGGGAGAAATTCTTATAGTTTGAAGTATCTAGAGAAGGCTACATTAAGAAGTAGGCATGTGAGCTGGGCCTTGAAGAATGGGTAGGATTTCACTAGATGATTTCAGATAGAAGGAATGGCAACGAGAAAGACAAGGAAAGCCTAAGTAGAGATCTGAGGAGTGATTTGTAAGCTAGTTTGGGTGGAAGGTAGATTGGGATGACTAGTAATTGGGACAAGATTGTGGTGGACTTTGAAATAGCTCAGGCAGGATCTAAGTCCTGTTCAGGAACTGGAGACCTTAATGGAGAAGTAGGCCCCCACCACTTCCTACAGCAGGTTTCTCATCCTGTCAGAGTTCACACAGCACTTTATCTTGCACCTTTTCAATGTACTTCTGTAATACTGTATATTACAATTATTTTTAAAATAATTTATTTATTTCTAGTTTTCAACATTCACTTCCATAAGATTTTGAGTTTTAAATTTTCTCCCCCTTCCTCTCCTCCCCCTTCCCAAGATGGGGTATAATCTGATATAGGCTCTACTTTGTATATTACAATTATAAGTATGCTTGTGGGGGCAATGTGGCATGGTGGATACATAGCCAGCCTTGGGACCAGGAAAGCTTGAATCAACATCCTACTTCTGACACATGGTTGCCAAGTCCCTCAGCCTCTTAGTGTTCTAGGTAATTCATTAGGATTATAAATTGCAGAGGTGCTGACAGGTTGGGAGTCACTTGGGAGCTCTCAATAATAATGAAATCACAAATCTTTTCCTGATTCCTAGATATATCTTTTGCTCCTACAAGACTGAACTTCATAAGGGGAGGGACCTTATCTATATTTTGTATCTTCCCCCCTCCCCCATCACAGTGCTCAGCATATAGGCACTTAGTATATATTTCATTTGTTGCACTGGAAGAAAAGAAGCTACCCTGGCCTAGTCCCCATCCATCATATTTGAGATCCTTATGCCCTGGGACCCCCACCACTCATGCTGATATCTATTAGCCAGCCAACTTGGGGGAGGGGAAAAGGTTTTTGTTGTTCAGTCGTTTTCCCTCGTGTCTGTACAATTAGTGTTCGTCAAAGACACAATCCTTTCCTGGGTTGGCACTCCCCTCTGAAGTTACATCCTCTACTCCAGGCACGGTGGTACCTAAAATTTTAAAGGGAACTTAATTTATCTCCCTTCAAAGGGTCTTTGATTAACGCAGGCCCTCAGTCACATCTGCTAAGCCTAGTCTGGAGCTCTGCCACCCTGAGAAATCAGGAAACTGCATCTCGAAGGCGGCCCCCAATCCTGAGCTAGAAAGGGCTCAGGAATGAGGTGAGCTCCTCTAAAGAGGCTTAAGGTAAGCACGTTTGGGATGAGGGAATATTATTTCCGAAGGAAAGTGTTCAGGCCCCGCCCCCCGCCTGTCATTGGGTGGATAAAGGATGCCCTCGCCCCAACCACTAACAGTCCACCAGTGGGAATCAGCAGGAGAGGCGTGGGCCCTAAGAAGGCGTGGCTCAGGCCAGATAGCCTTAGCTGAACTTCAAAATTGCCCCGGGATTCTGAGCTTCTGTCTTCCACTCCAAGCCAGGGGTTCCCAAGCAGTGGCCTTCTTTCCCCAGGTGGTCTGGAAAGGGTTTCCCTGGGGCCGTAAGTTTGGGAAGGGAGGAAGAGGCAAACACTCATTTTCCCGTAAGGTCAAAGGAGGACCAGCCCCACCCCCTCCGCAAGGCTCGGGGGAGACCCAAACGTGCTGACTCCCTGACCTCCCTCGAATGAGGGAAAAGCATGCTATGCTACCGGCCTGGGAGATCGCTGAGGAAAGGGCCCGGGCTGGCTGGGAGCCTCACCTCCAGCGTCTGGAAAGTCGGCACAATCCCTTTCGTCTTAAACAGACCAGAGGGGCAGGGAGTGGAAAACTGGGAAGCCAACGACTCCTTACACCCGGAGGCTTAGACTACGGGAGGAAGAACTTTGCAGCCCTCCGCCTTCCGGCCCTTTCTCGGACTCTCCTAGTCTCGCCCTCGAGTCTTCATTAGCCCCACCCCCTCGAGCCCTGCCTCTTCCTGTCCTCTGAGGTAGGGCGGGGCAGGGGCCTGGGAGAAAGGCGGTGAGGGGGCGGGGTCTATGAGGTTCCCGCCTCCTCTCGCCGATTGGTCACTACTGGAGCTCCAGCTCTAGGCCTCGATTTCCCCCCCAAACCCCTCCCTCTCTCCCCTCCCCCTCTCAAGCGGCAGGCTGATTGGTGGAGGTTATAGGGTCACGTGATGGGCGTCGCCGCCACTGCCTCCGCGGGGGGTGGGGGGGCGAGCGACGGAGCGGGCAGTGAAAACAAAGATGGCGGCGCCGCCGGGTTTGGTGTCTGCATCTGGGTCTAAGTCAGCGACTGACGCGGCGGCGACGGCGGCAGTAGTTTCGAGAAGACGCGCGGGCGGCCGGTCCCTCTGAGGCGGCGGCGAGGAGGCGGCGAAGCGGCGTGAGCGGCGGCAGCGGCAGGAGCGCGCGGTGCCCCTAACCCCCTCCCCCTCGGGCGGCGGCGGCGGCGGCAGCGGCAGCAGCGGCGGGAGCGCGCCCGGCTCTGCCCGGCAGCCGCGGTGGGATGTCCGGGGCTGAGGAGGCCGGGGGCCCAGCGGCGGCAGCGGGGGGACCCGCGGGTTCCGGGGCCGGGCCCCAGGGCGCCTCCGCTATGGCCGTGTCCGTGCTGGGAGAGGCGGCGGGGCCCGGGCTTCCAGATGAGGCGGGCCTGCCCGCGGGCCGCCAGCTGCCCCTACCCGAGGCCGGCGGCGACCCAGATGCGCCGCCCAAGAAGCGGCTGCGGGCGGCCGAGGCGGAGGCGGCGGCGGCAGCGGCGGCCTCGGCAGCGACGGCTTCGGCTTCGGCGTCCGCGGGGAGCGGCAAGCTGGAGGAGCGCCTGTACTCCGTTCTTTGCTGTACAGTCTGCCTGGACCTGCCCAAGGCCTCAGTCTACCAGGTACGGCCGGGATCCTTAGAAGCCCCCTCACCCCGGCTGTCCCCCTTACTTCCCTCGGGAATCTGGGCACACCTGAACCCTAACACCGTCCTTTGCCCGGCCCCCCCCTTATTGTTTCCTAGCCAATCTCTTAGTCTGCTTTGAGGGATTTCTATACCCTCTTACCTGTCTGGAAGTACCAGTACCACCCATGTACTCGACATCCCTACCCTCAGGCATTGTCATGGGGAACTCCTTCCCCTCCCTTTCTCCTTCGATCTAGTTTTTCTTTATCCCCTTCCTTAGTCTCCCCAGGCTGGGCCCAACCTTTCCCCATCGTGTCTTCTGCGCCGTCCTCCCCGTATTCTCTTCCCTAGCTCCCCCCCACATACACACCTCCATTTCACCTTAGGCAACTTCATCTTCTCTTTTCCCTTCCATCGTCCTCTCCTCCCCCCATTCTTCCTGAGGGGAGCTCCCTCAGCCTGGATCTCTTATGATTTTCTCATTTCTCTTCCCCCCTTGTTTTTTTTAAAAATTCTTTCCTCCATTTGGCCCCCCTCATCCCGATAATTCTCTCCTTTTCTTAGTAGTCTTATCTTCCTTCTGTTGTCCCCTTACAGGCTTACCACCTGACCTCCTACCATTTTTGACAACCCTATCTCATCTTCACATCATCTTTAGGAATCTTATAATAACCTTATTTCCCCCATAGACTGTCCTACCTCCACCCGTTGGGACTGTGATTCCCTTCTATCACCTAATCGGATTCCCTGCAGTCCTTCCACCTATCCCTTCCTTCCCTGGTCCTTACCACTCTACTACTTCATCTGTCTGTATTTTGCCTTTTGTTCACCCCCACAAACATTCCTGGTGATACAAAGAAAACCGGGGTAAGGGGAGAATGTAAAATAAAGATTAGTAAATATAAAGTAATTTCAGCAATGTCCACTTTATCGATTTTGGTCACCTCACGCCACCCCAGTATCAGTTTATTCCCTGAATCTAGCCTGATACTACAATTCCTACTCCAACCTCCCTGATTTTAAACACTCCCTCTATACCCCATTCCTTACTCTCTCTTTGTAGCTACTTCCTCAGTAAAGCAGCATCCCTTCCTCCCTCCAAACCCTGCTGACTTGTACTCATATCATTGCTTTTTTCCCAACGCTCCCACTTGGCTCTCTCTCTTAAACCCCACTATGTAATCCAGCCTTCCTTTCCTTATTCTCCCCACTTGTTCTTTAATATCACTCCTGTTGATCTTTTTTCAGATGGGGGAGATGCTCCCTCCTTCACACCTGGTTGATGCTCCCCCCCCACCCCCAATCTCTTGGAGGTGGGGTGGGGCTCTGTGAATGTTTCATTTCTTACTGGTGAGGCTGGAGAGCGAGCAGGGCAGAAAAGCATCTACTGGGGTCCTTCTTCCCCCTTAAGGCAGATGAGATTATCCTTCTCTCCTTATCCAGGGTCATCTGTATCCTTGTGTTCCTGTTATTGTGCCAAACATTCCCTGTGTGACCCTACAGGGAGAAATAATGTAGCTTATTCATGCTGCTCTCCACCCTTGGGAACAGGAATGTCTTTTCCCTCCATGTTTTTCCCTGCCTGATTCTTCCCCCTGTCCTCAATGTGGCTTCAGAGTCCTTTTACCCAGAATTTGTTAGATGTTCTCTTGACCCCATTTTACTTGCCAGACTTATTACCTCAAGTCACAAAGTCAAAGGCTCCGTCATAACACCTGATTGGTTCTTGGTTTATAGGCCCCTTTTCTCTTCTAGCCAAACCCAGCGTGTCCTATCTGAGGCTATCCCTTCCCCAAATCTGTAACCTAATTCACTTCTCTTCCAACCCCAACTGTATTCCCAGCCTTCTGCTTCCTTTCTCCTGGACTGAGGAATGATAACTTTTCCCCTCTCCTTTCTCCCTCCTGTTGTTAATTCTTCTAATTTGGTTTCATCCTCTACCGTCCTTGAACAAAACAAAACCAGCCAGATTTAAGTATGACTCTCATAAGTATATCTTCTCTGTACCTACTCTTTTCCCTCTCATACATAGGCTAAGCTTGGTGCCTTCTCACCACCCTCATGGCCAATTTATCCACCCCCATTTGGGGGAGATAGTGATATCAAGCCTTGAGCCTCATATGTAGATAAAAGGACTTTTGGTGGGAGTTAGGGGAATTTGAACACATATCTTTTCTGGATGGAAAGATACTCATGTATTAATGTGTACTCTTTAGTTCCTTAGGAAATAGACTGTTGATTGGCTCTCCTGAGATCTTACTTAGGGAATACAGCATTCATTCTCCACTCCACTCCCCTTTTCTAATTCTCTTTCCCCTCCATTTGAAAAGCTCTGGTTGGATCTGTAGGAATCAGGATTGTAACCTGAGAACAGTGAACAGTATTTTGGCTTTGAAGTCTATGAGGCTTCTTGTGAAGGCTTGGCTTGCACCTGGTGGAAGTGAGATTGGTAATTGAAAGAAGAGGGGAGATACTCCTTTTCTCTTCTCCGAACCCTTTCTTCTTTGCCCTTCTACCTGGCAGGAGACTGAGACAGGTGGGAATGTCTTGGCAGGTCTCCAGAACTCGGTATGGGCAGATACTGTAAATAGTGTGGGCTTCTTCAGAGTCGCCACACACCTAGTCAAGTCTTGCCGTTTTTCTTTTCTGACAATGGGGTGGAGGGCCTGTTTTTTGAGATTGAAGCTTGGAGACAGGAGGCTAAGGCAAGCATTTCTCCAGTCTTAGTGCTGGATCATGCTGAGAGTTTTTGGGGTCTGAAATAGTTCTTGAACCTTTCTGTGATTATCAACATGTTACTTCTCCCATCCAGGCTTTGATATAAATAAACCTATGTGTGATTCTTCCTGAATGTTACAGGCCTTCATTGTGCCAGCAGTGTTCCCCCCAGCCTCAGGGGCTGACATTAGAATTTGAGTTGGAACCTTGTTTAAAAAATATTGTAATTCAAGTTGTGGGGGTGATTTGGGAGGGTTGTTTTGAGAAGGGAGAATTCCACAGAAGGGGTTTGGGGATTACCTCTGTGGGGCTGAGCCAGCCATCAAAATGCAAAGGTCATTGCTGCAATGACGTTACACTTTGCTGAGCTGGCCCTAAAAATATCCTCCTGGTGTTTTAAGAGGATCCTTCTGATTGCTCTGTTTGGGGTGAGAACAAGTCTGGGCAGCTTCCTCTTTCCCCAGGAGGGAAGGTCATGCTAGCTTTTCACAGCAGCCTTCATGGGGAAAAGCATAATTTGTGTTGACAAGTTGTCCAGACGTAGGCAAGTTGTGACTGCTCTTAAAATGGCTGCTAATTCTGAAAATAAGGTCTACCAGCCTTCTCTTACTGATACTTCCTTCTCCATGAAGCCCACTCTCAGTCCATAAAGTGGGACTGGAGCCATAAGTAATTCTGCAATACCTTTCTGCAAAAGATATTGTGTAGAATTTCCAGGGAGACTGTCAAGTTTGTACAACAGCTAAACATGGGCTGTAACTCATCATGCCATATGCCTGTTCACTGACAAGGTACTCTGAAGCTCCTAGACTGGGAGGTCTCTAGCTTAGACCTGACTTTGACCTTAAGGATAAGATAAAATAGGAAAAAGTCCTGCAGCCATCATGTGGCCAGCTTCTTGCTTTTAAGGCTGAGGGGGCAGCCTTAGGGCTCCAGGGCAGTGGTCTCTCCCTATAGACCTCAAGCTGGGTCCTTGACAAGTAGGCAGATTGAGAAGGGGTCTTGGCCCTCTTGGTCAGACTGGTTAAAACCAGTCTGGCATGTTTTCTGTAGTTGTGGTATTCCCATTTATTAGTAAGCACTTAACTGGCCAGCCTAGTTAGGAAAATTAAAAAGTTAGGCTATGCCAGCCTAAATGCCAATAAGGTTCTTCTCTAGAAGTGTATGGCAGAGTTGAGGCACTGCTGTTTGCTTTTTTTGTGCCTCCATTAACATTAGTGTCATTTTATCCATGATGTATGGTATGGTAGTCCCTTACCTTCCAAAGCGATCCATATTCTTGTTGTAAGGTAGATTTTGGCTGTTGAGGTTTCTTACCTTAACATTGATATATAAGGATTTAACATTGATATATAAGGATGATCCTGATCCTCTCCTCTGTTTCTTAGTGTTGGGGCCACTTCCACAGCATGAAATAGAAGGCCCACCATTTCAAGGCCTTAGAGGAGCTCCAAAGCTATCCTTTCTGTATTTGTGCAACTTAGAGGTTTAGGATGACTAGAAGCCCATTATTGAATGTGCCAAATTTTGGAAATCTCATTTACTCATAAGAAAGACTGCCTTCAGAAGTCACTGGAGAAGATTTGGGAATAAGCAAGAAATGTGACTTCTGTATAATTTCAAGAGATTGTATTGTGGTGCGTCTTAGTTTGCATATGTTCTTTTTTGTACACAGAAATGTTGTGTAGTCCCAAATCAGGTGGTAAGCCAGCCCTGTGAATAGCAGTACCTCATGAATTGGGCCTCCCTTGGAAGGCAGCAAGTCCTGCCAGAGCTCAGAATAGTGGGAAGTGTGAGTTGTAAACTGGTTGGATGATGGCACTGGATTGGCATGAGTGTCCTCTGGGTAGCTGGTGGAGGATTTGTTTTAGGGGGTTACTAGATCCACATCTTCAGCTGACAGGAGACCCAGTGATTTGGGGTAATATATACTGTGCCTTGGACATACCAAACTAAATTGACATGACTTCTGTTTGCCTCTGGTCTGAAGTGAACAATCTTATTCAGGGACAGCCCAAGTGTCAAACACTTGGTGAACGAAGGAAAGAGGCTAGTGTATTTTTTTTTAGCAAACTCAGATGATCTGTTAGGAGTGGAGGGAAATAGGCCTTAACTGCTCAAGGGGCATCATATAATCATGTGATAAATTCAAAATGGAACTTTCAAAGCTGTCCTGTTTGTGTTACCTTCTACATTTTTAAGAAGAGATTCAATGATCTTCTTTTCTGTTGCTTTTTGAAACCCTATTGCTATCCAGCCCACCTCCCCCCTTTACCA